CCAGGAGGGAAAGGTCTTCCCTGCCCCTGCCCGGCCCAGCTGGCAAGCCGCGGGCTCGTGGGGACTCACTGGTGACATGCAGGAAGCGCAGCCCCTCTGACTCCAAAGCCGGTTGCACCATAGCTGCTGCCTGTCCAGCTCCATGGCTGACACAGTGCGATTGGGCTGCCTCAGCTCTGACTTCCAGCTTCTGGCTTTCTGCCCACTCCTTTGTATACTACCTGCACTTGGGGGTGTGGCTTCGGCCTCCCTGGCCAATAGCGCCGCAGCACAGCCAGAGAGTGGCAGGACACAGCCACCAGGGCTGGCTGGGCATTGATTGGGCCGCTGACTGATGTCCATCCATGTCCAGCTACACTGTTTACATTTGTAGGGAAGCAGGGCAGCCCACTCCTGCCGCCCGCCTCACCTTCTAGGCTAAGAAAGGCCCGCTGATCTCCGTGTTTCTCCTCCCCTCCGGAATCACAACCCCTTGGAGATGAATGATCCCAGCGATGACCCCAACACACGCCCGGTGTCACCGTCACAGACATTCCCAGTCATTGCAGCCCGTTCCTCAGCCCGCAGTGCCCTTCTCCACCCACTGCCACACCTCACCTGTCACCCACTGAGGACCACCTTACATTATCCTATCTGAAATGTGAGCAAGATCTCAAATGCCCCCCATCATAGCTCCCTTGCCCTACCTTTCTTCCTCTAAAACCCTTGCATTTAAAAAATACATATTTGATTGATTTTGGAGAGGAAAATAGAGATAGAAATATCAATGATGACAGAGAATCATTGATCAGCTGCCTCCTGCACATTCCTAAGTGGGGATCGAAACCTCCCCTGGCCCCTTCCCCTGTCCCTCCCCCAGCCAGCAGGCCTCCGGTGGTGGCGGCACCGAGGGAAGAGGGGGAGGGGAGGTGTGGAACCGTGGAGTGGCAGGGCACTGAGGGCAGTGTTGGCATCTGGCATCTGTTCCACACCCTGCCTGGCGACTGTCACCTCCTCTCCTAACCCCGCCAGGGCCTTCGGGCCCCAATTGGCCTGGCCCTGATCGGCCCTGATCGCCCACCAGGCCTAGGGACCCCGCCCATGCACGAATTTCGTGCACTGGGCCTCTAGTGAAGGCATAAGCTCTACCATTTACAAACTGTGTGCTTGGAGGCATTACTCTTCATCTCTATGCCTCAGATTCATCTTTATGAGTGGAAATGACAAGAGTACCTACCTTCCAGGGTGCTTTTATTTTGTTTTTGTTTTTTTTTCCCCAGGGTAGTTTTGAGGGTGCAATAAATTAAAGTGTTTTAAACAGTGTCTGGACCAAAGTAAGGGCATAGTCATTTAGCTACAACCATATATCTTTTAAAAATACGTTTTTATTGATTTCAGAGAGAAGGGGAGAGGGATATAAACACCATTGATGAGAGAAAATCACTGATCAGCTGCCTCCTACACGCTCCCTACTGGGGATCGAGTGTGCATGTGCCCTGGCCAGGAATCAAACTATGACCTCCTGGCTTAAAAGTTGGTGCTCAACCATTGAGCAACACCAGCCAGGTGGACCCAGAAGTTATCAAATGCATACGAGGCATCTGAGAGGAGTAGTTGTGAGAATTAAAATAAAGGCCACATGCCTGGCATTTAGCAATGGGTAGATGCTCAACCACTGAGCCACACCGGCCTGGCACTACAACCATAATTTTGTGTCGTTTCTGGCCATAGCCCAGCCTGCCCACCGCTGTGGAGCTGGGGCCATTCAGGGCTTTGTGAGGTTCAGGACCTCCTGCATGATAGAAGGCAGCCAACTAGAACTGGATAAGCTTGCTTCCTTGAGCTCAACCTCTTTAGAACTAGGCGTTTCATCTGCGG